GTAGAAAGAGTGTTGGTGCTAGAATTGATCCTTGCGGAACACCACCATTTATGATGAGAGAGTCAGATAAAACTCCGTCGACCACTACATAGAGAGACCTGTTTGAGAAAAAACTAGCTATAGCAGAGACCATAGCTGGGGAGGCAAGCCATAAGATGGAAGCGTGGCGAGGAGTCCGTGGTGCCAGACTGGATCGAATGCCTTGGAGATATCAAGTGCCACGGCTAAGGTTTCACCATATTTTTCAATAGATTGATGCCATAATATATGTGAGACGTAAGCGAGCAGGTCACCAGTTGATCTCTGATGACGGAAGCCATATTGCCTATCGTTGATATTACCAGAATGTTCCAGGTATTTCATGAGCTCCATGTTGATAGCTTCCTCCATGATCTTAGAAATAATAGATAGCAGTGCGATCGGTCTGTAGTTGCTAGGTAGGGTCACTTGTCTTTTTTAGGAACTGGTTGTACTCTAGCAATTTTCCAGTTGGACGGGAATATCCCCAATTTGTAAGAGTATTTGAATAACTTGCAAAGAACAGGTGTTAGTTCGGGAGCACATTTCTTGAGAACAATCGGTGGAATTCCGTCGGAGCCATAAGCTTTGTTGGTGTTGTTAATTCCTCAATAGAGATGATTATTCGATCCAGTTGAAATATCAGGAACATGATCGTGTTGGTAAAAACATTCACTCTGTGTACTAGTGATTCAAATGGATATCTTTGATACACATGACGTGCAGGCATCTTTCACATGACAGAACGAAATTTCAAAAATGACAATGAACCATCCAAGTTATTTTCGCTTTACGTGTGTCTACAAAATTATCGTGCATGGTGAAACTGTTGAAATTTTGCCGCTCTCTGGTATGAAATAGATGTAATGTAACATAAATAGACGGGATGGGAAAATTGGGAATATCATTCATGTTGGGAACATCATTTTCTAACATAATAAGGGTATGCTAAACCATACTAACCTGGTTTCCAAATGATATTTTCAGTATTTGACCTCATTCCATTTTGAAAAAAACAAAATGAGCCCCAGTTTCAGACGATTCTGTAAATTCAGGCAGACGACTATATTGAAATAAAACTAGGTATATCAAGTATTCTTTCAATCCGGAGGAAAATTACTGATTGTCCATTGACCAGGCCCAGGAAGTAGTTCATACCAACCTGGGTCCGTCCTTGGTTTATATATTCTCAAATAAGTCTAACATGATACGGTAAAACGTGATAATTATCCTGAAAAAGAATCTCAATCTCCATAATAAACAATAAACATGAATAAATATGTTAACGATATTTATCATACTCGCTTTGACAAATTATATAATGCTCATGCAACCCGTCCTATCCATATATACAGTGCTTTTCTTCAATGTCCCTCCCCCTTTTATTTTTTCAATGGGTTAACTAAAAATGTTATGCATCTATATTTTGGAGTGAAATTGACAGAGGGAAATTTCAAGATGGTGACTGGGCGCCATCAGAGACAAAAAAATTAAATGGAGAGAAAGGTCTTGTGACACATCCTACTGAAGAATACTTCACAACTCTAAGCTTACTACAAAATTCGCTTGTCAAACAAATCAAATCAAAATATACTATATTGTCGAAAGATGAGTATCTTGTAGACGAAGTCATAATACATATAATATAAAAACACAAACATAAGTACTATCAACGAACAGACACATCATCAAATACAAATAAAAATATGTCTATCGCTGAACATTCAACAGGAATAAAATAATCATGAATGAAATAAAACATAATATACAGTGTGTCCCTAGACCAGTGGGACAGTTGAATATCTCCTGCACCAATAGGAATTTTCAAAATATTATGATTCCACATCATATCGCATCATGAGTGCCAACTTCAGGAATTACTCAATTTTATACGAGGGGCGCAAGAAAGGCTCACAAAATCGAACATCAAATTTTTCAAATGGAACACCCCATATATTTCAACATATCTGAATTCTCACCCCTCTAGGCTAATTATCAGTTTTTTATTTTTGAAAATCCGACAAGGCGTTGCCGAGTTATACTAGTGTTTCATGAAATGCAGACAAACCCATCATTCATACTACTAAGAATTTATGGAATGATTCAAGACTGTTGGTAGTCGGTAGCATATTCTATCATATGAAATACTCATCTTCTTCGAAAGTTATACAGGGTGGACAGAAATATTATATGATTTTCACGAAATTCAAACTTTCTTCACATCAATTTTTCAAATAGTACACCCTACAATATGTATAATTTTATATCCCATTGGTGGTTTGATTGCTTATGGTCGATAGTTGTGAAAGAGAGATGTGCCTAATTATTCGTCAAGTCAGTTTTTTCTTGTTGGGACTGTTTTTTTAGTAGTTAAGTACAGTTGAATAAATAGTTTACTGCATTTTTTTTATTTGCATTTGCTGATGATGAAATTCACACCTCTCTTTCACAACTATTGACCATAAGCAATCAAACCACCAATGGGATATAAAATTATACATATTGTAGGGTGTACTATTTGAAAAATTGATGTGAAGAAAGTTCGAATTTCGTGAAAATCATATAATATTTCTGACCACCCTGTATAACTTTCGAAGTAGATGAGTATTTCATATATGATAGAATATGCCACCGACTTCCAACAGTCTTGAATGATTCCATAAATTCTTAGTAGTATGAATAATGGGTTTGTCTAAAAGAATGTCTGCATTTCATGAAATACTGGTATAACTTGGCAACGCCTTGTCGGATTTTCAAAAATAAAAAATTGACAATTAGCCTAAAGGAATGAGGATTCAGATATGTTGAAATATATGGGGTGTTCCATATGAAAAAATTGATGTTCGATTTTGTGAGCCTTTCTTGCGCCCCTCGTATAAAATTTAGTCATTCCTGAAGTAAGCACTCATGATGCAATATGATGTGGAATTATAATATTTTGAAAATTCCTATTGGTTCAGGAGATATTCAACTGTCCCACTGGTCTAGGGACACACTGTATAGCCATTGCCAGGAACTAGTAGATGAACATATAGCAAGAATCAACTTCAAATCATTATAGGAACCATATCTTTATCAAAGTAGTCTTGAACACTATAAAATACCTGTTCAATGAGTACTTGCTTTACAGACTTTCTGAACTTGTAATCTGATTGGATATCTTTGAAACATTTCGGAAGAGCTGCATAATAGACCAGCAATTTTTTCTTCAAATTTGATGATGGAATGGGCAGTCTTAGCTTGTCATTTTGGGGAGTGAAACCAGCAACAACATCGTAAGATGATCTGTTCTTATGTACTAGGCACACAGATTCTAGAATAAATAATGAGGGAAGAGTAAATAATCTTTGCTCCTTGAATAGGGGTTTACAAGACACTCTGGGCTCAACTTTGCTCAGATATCGAACGGCGCGCTTTTGAAGAATAAAAACTGTATTGAAGTGCTGTTGATTGCAGGTGCCCCAGCAGGCTATGCCATTCCTCATATGTGATTCAACTACAGCGTGGTACACAATTTTTGCTGTTACAATACCCAATTCTTTCGACACCGTTCGTAAAGCATAACATCCCGAAGCTAGTTTTTTGCTCAGTATTTTTATGTGGTTATTAAAATTGAGGTGACTGATTAGATTGGTTTTGTCTCTGTTGAATGTTAGCAGATTGGAGTTGCACCATTCTCTCACACTAACAATATCTTGAGATATTTTGTTATGCAGATCAATTCCATCAGTGTCATTCCACAGTATGGTTGTATCTTCTGCATAAATAGTGAATACTCCATTCGATTTGATATAAGCTAGATCATTAAAATACAACAGAAACAGTACTGGCCCTAGTACCGAACCTTGAGGCTCACCGTGTTTGATAAAACCAGCATCTGACAGCGTGTCAATTCTCACCACTAAGGTGCGTTGACTCGAATATGATTCGATCCAGTTAAAACTTTGATTTCCGAAACCATAGAGCTGGAGTTTGCGCAGCAGTATTTTGTGGTTCACACAATCGAAAGCTTGAAGACAAGTCACAGAAAACTGCTGCACACACCTTATTCGACAAAGTGTCACTTTTGATCCTAATAAAACAATCTAATATTTCAACACCTTGTATCTTGAAAATTTGCAGTGTTCTACACCCTAGCAAGGAGGTCACTTTTTTTTAAACACCCTGTAGAGAATACAAAATCTTCCCCACTTGAAGAGATGAAAAACAAAATGAGTGAGGGTTACTTAGCTCACTTAGCTGTGTGCACGTGTATATACGGTTTGTCACAAACCGGATTCTCAAATCCTTTTTGTGTTAATAGGTTGCCAGACAGATGAATTTATTCAACTTTTGATTACATCTGGAATAACTTGAGTGAGCTCTCATTAGGCTCAACTGGGTTTCCCTGGTGTATTCACTTGTTGACTTGTTGCATTTTTGATAATCCAGACTACTGAGTGAGTTGTTAGTTACGTTCTCATTTGACCAACAAAAAATTTGCTCCTAAGGACTTGGTTATCTTTTCCCCATTTCATATTGTTTATCTTCACTAATTGTTTCATAACAATGAACATTCTTGACTATTCCTTTGACACATGTCATGTCTTGGATGTCATGTCATGCATGTCAACTTCAAATTTGTTTCCATTATTCCAGTACGTCACTCATCAAGTTCACTTCAACACGACATGTCGCAGCGACAATGGCTGCTTAAGAAAATGTAATCTGTATTTTACCCCCTTTCGGGAAACAAATTTTAATCTGTTTGTTCCGTATTAAAAAAAATGTTTCGAACAATTATTTCAAATTTTCCAATATTTTCCAATAGCTAAAAGCAGATTAGTTACTTACAAGTATGCACTGATGATGACTTAACAGTCGAAAGCGCTCTGCTACGAGTAATAAATTTGAATAAATTATCTTGCACGAAATACAACACTCTCCTTCATTGGTAAAAACAAAATGCCCAAAAATGATGTTCCTATATTTTTAATTTTCAGATCGAGGAGGGTGATCGCGGCCCATCAGAGATGACCGCGTCCCTCGGCTTCGGCGGCGACAGTGGCGGCGACGGCGTCAACCCGCCCCCCAACGCCACACGCCGTCCCTCCGACGTCTACACAGTCTCAGTGACGGGATACGACAACAAGGGGTACAAGAGCGATGGCGCCAATGGCGACCCCAAGAAACCACCCCGAGGAGAGATCTCCGACGAGGAGGCCTTCCAGCAGGGCAAGTTCAAGATGTCCACCAAGGAGAAGTGGCGGATATTGAAGAACGTGTCCGCCATTTCGTGTGCCTTCATGATCCAGTTCACTGCCTTCCAGGTACAGTACAAGAACTACAAGACAAAGGCTATTTGCCCATGTAGCACAAAATCCATGTGTCACGTTGTGACCTTCTCAAACCGTCTAACCGACCACGTATTTGCCATTTTGACAACCAGTGTAATGATAAATGGAATGTTATTGAGAAAGCAAAAGCTCAGTCATTTCCACAAGAACAATGGTTCCTTTTTGTCCTATTGGCATACATAGCGACGTTCGGGCATAAGTCATGGTATTCTGGAAAAGGTCTTGTAAACGTCTGCACTACCGATGTATATGACCTGCTTGTGCTACTTGAGTGATATTTGAATAGTTTTCACTAGCAGTAGGGACATTTTTAGTAGCCTCATTTTGCTATGCTCGAAGAGATTTTCCTTATTTGATATGCGATGGTTTTAATTGAGACAGGTTAGGTTCCATTTTCGTTGGTCGAATCCCGCCTCGTTAATGCGCCCCAAATGGTTTTATCGTGCCCACCCAAAAAGTTATACGAGTCACTGCACCTTCCACCTTTTCTGCATGATTGAATACGCTGGAATCGGTAGGATCCAAAATGATGAAGCTGAATGTGTTAAAACTGAGTCCCTCTCAACAAGAGCGAACATAATTGTGCTGAGCAGTATCGCCTTCCACACAACAGAACCGATAGGCTATTTTGGTTCATTCAAACCTACTCCATTCTAGGCCTGCTTGGTTGTGTTTTTCAATAGTGTAGGCATAGATGCTGGTCCTATCATCGGCTACACCTCAGCCTCCTGGGCATTTTGTGCATTCCAGTTGATTTTATAGCACCCATTCCGTAGCTCTTATTTCCTGCACCAGTGTGTACAGGTTCTTCACCGGTTGGCTGTTGTATTCTTCGGGAGTCAGGCTAGGCTGCCCGAATATTTCTTGTCTTTTGCGATTTAATGCCTCGCATTTTATGAATAAGTGTTTGGCCGTTTCTGTTCCTTCACCGCATTGTCTGCAAAGAAGTTCTCCATTGTACAGTCCCATTTTATTCAGGTGCGTCCTCTCGTTGGACTGTGATCAGTGAGAAGTCCCGTTTTTGTTCTGACTTGGTTCCTACTCGTCTCGAGTAGTTCTTCGGATTTATTTTTCGACGGTTCTTTGATGAATAATTTCCTGTAGTGCATGCGAGGGGCTTCAGTCCATCGCTCCTTATGTAGAACAGATCAATCAGTACGTGAATGTTTTTTCTTACGGCAATCCAACAATAGTTTTAGCTACTTTTTCGGAATGTACACCTTAGCGCTAATAAGAAAACAACAAGGAGTACAAGAGCGACATAGCCGATGGCGACACCAAGAAGCCGCCTTGAGGAGAGATCTCCGACGAGGAGGCCTTCCAGCAGAATAAGTTCAAGATATCCACCAAGGAGAAGTGGCGGATATTGAAGAACTTGTCCGCCATTTTGTGTGCCTTCATGATCCAGTTCACCGTTTTACTTTGCCATGCTCGATAAGATTGTTATTCCTCCATACCTATAGCAGAATCTCTCTCCAGCTCTGTTTCCTACAGGAATTCTAAGATATGAAATGGTTTCAGTTGGGATAGGTTAGATTCCATTTTGGTCTGGAGGTTCTATCGTGCCAAACCCTGAAGGTTATACGAGTCAATGCACATTCCACTTTTTCTGCATGATTCGATGAGGTGCAATTGTCCTGGAATCGGTAGGATCCAAAATGATGGAGCTGAATGTGTTGCACCAGAACTTCTCCTTAACAAGAGCGAACATAAATTATTGTGCTGAGCTGTTTCGCCTTCCACACAAAGAAACCGATAATCCGTTTGTTAATTTTAACCTACCCTTCCTAGTTGGTATCTTAGACAAGAATGGCTGGTCTAGATTGTAGTTTATGTCAGTGGATATGATATATTGCGGTCTAAATAGTAGTTACGTCAGTGATCTCAATGCATCATATAGCATTCCACTATATTCATTGTTCAGTAACAATTGTACAGAGTGGCTGAAATTTGAGGCTCATCATTGGGATCTCGTAAACTGTAAGAGATACAGGGTCCGTTGAATCATGGCAAAGTTGCGCAATTTGATGCTAATCGAAATGCCGCCTCAAAAGTTTGGAAATTCCGAATACTTCCGAAGATATTTGAAAAAACCCGAGTATCCGCGCTTTCGTTTTTATTTTTAACCTCAGGCAATTGCTGTCCCTCGGGCCAGAGGCCCTCGGGACGCAAACTTTGCCATCGGTAATTAAGGCCCTCATAATTCCCTTAATACATAAATAACTATTTCGACCTTTTAGAAAAACAAAGTTGATTATGGCTCCTCGAAGACGCAACGTTGAATCTTGAATTTATTAATGCCATTCAATAGAGCAGAAGAAGTGGCAATGCTAATATGATATTCATTTTAACAGTTCACTACAAGTAAAGACATAAAAAATATCTCTGGAAGTAAACTTCTGAGGGGCATTTTGATCAGCTTTGCCATAATTGAACCGACCCTGTATCTCTCACGGTTTACGAGATCCCAATGATGAGTCTCTAATTCCAGCCACCCTGTACATTGAATTTGTTTCAGGGCACAGCCAACTTACAAAGCAGCATCAACGCCACCGACGGTCTAGGCACCGTTTCCCTGAGCGCCGTGTACGCTGCCCTAGTAGTCAGCTGCATCTTCGTGCCGACCTTCCTCATCAAGAAGCTCACCGTCAAATGGACCTTGTGCTTCTCCCTGCTAGCCTACGCTCCCTACATCGGGGCGCAGTTCTACCCCCGTTTCTACACCCTGGTGCCGGCGGGGATCCTGGTGGGCATCGGTGCTGCCCCCATGTGGGCGTCCAAGGCCACCTATTTGACGCAGGTGGCCGGGGTCTACGCGAAGTTGACCGATCAGGCTGTGGACGGTATCATAGTGAGGTTCTTCGGGTTCTTCTTCCTCGCTTGGCAGACGGCTGAACTGTGGGGAAACCTGATATCTTCGCTCGGTGAGTTGCATTCTAGTCGAATTAACGCCATAAACTTCATTGATCTTCTCATGTACAACCAGTATTAGTGCTATAATTTTTTTGAAATCATCATAAATAATATTTGTCAAATGATAACTCGAGATCGGCACCATTCGAAAACTCTAGCTCTTTTAGACGGGAGACACCGATAAACACATATTTCTCAATAACCAATGAAATCAAGAATTAAGTTCCACCGTAGAGGTGTAAACACTCAAGAAAGAGAAAAAATCCTCAACAAATCCATCTCAATTTCACAACATTACAGTTCATATCGTATTTGTGGAGTGTTTTTCAGATTCACTGCATCCAAACGTTGCTTTCATCAAAAAGGAAGGACTGCTCGAAGTCATATCCACAAATTCTAATGGTGTTGTTACACAATCATAAGGGACATGTTTCGGTTCTATAAACGACCACCATCTTCAGCCTAATTGAGAGTTTTGGAGTTGAAAAAATGTGATGTGGAATTGTTGTCAATGCACATAGCCGAAAAATCGAGTTTATAAATGAAAAAACAGGTTCTCAATAAATGAAGGGCCCCGTACCCTATAAGAACGCATACAATTCATCTCATCGAATGTCATAGGTATACCAGAATGGTAAATGAAGGGTTATTGCCAAATGGTTGTATTTTTTGACAACACCATAAATCAAAGAAATAACCGTTCCAGCCAATGGTTCTAGCAGTGTGAGCCAAAATTTGAGTTTACAAACGGCATAAAACATCCAACTGCACTAAGTTTCAAAACAAATATTTTCTTGATAAGTATCATTCAAGTGTTGCTCTAGGCCTGCTGTATAATATTCGGTAAATGTCATAATATTGTTCTGTAATTTTCAGTGCTAACTAACCCTCATGGTTCCGGAGGTCACGACAACGAAACCGTGGCAGATTACGGGGTGTGCGGTGCCAATTTTTGCGTCAGTACCATCAATAGTAACGGCAACTTAGACAGGCCGGCCGATAAGGAGATTTACGAAATTTCCATCATCTATTTGGGATGTATCGTGGCTGCCGTCATCCTCATCGCTCTAGTCGTAGATCCACTGTCAAGGTAAGATTTTTCATTTACAATCTGGTGAACTGCGCCTTCTTCTTCTTCTTCTTCGAAGCACTGGTGGGCGGGTGAACCCCCTGCACGTGGGCCTCCTTATTCGGGCCCATTGTGCGCCCACATGTTACAACATTCAGCTGGGTATGCCGACTGCCTTGGAGAAGTTCAGCAGCTTCCTCAGCTGAATCTCTTTTACGTCCTCTGGCCTCAAGATTATGTTGCCAAGGACAGCCCTCCTCTGATGCGTCAGTGCTGGACACTCAGTGAGGACATGTGATGACGTTTCGTCATCTTCCAGGCACCATCTGCAAAGGGGGTCATCCTTGATCCCAATAAGCTCTAGGTGCCTATTGAGGTGGTTGTGCCCCGTTAGGAGCCCCACTACCATTTTAAGGTTTCGCCTGTTTAGGAATAAAACCTCTTTTGCGAGCCTCTTCGAAGGTTCCTTTATGTGGAGCTTCGATTGTCCCATTCCTGGTGTGTCCTTCCATATTTTGAGGAATTGCTTTTGCAGCTGTTCCTCTATAGAGGACATTGCCAGGCTATTTGGTATTCCCAAGATTGGTTCCGGTCCGACCGGGGTCCGTCCTGAACCGATCTTTGCCAGTCTGTCTGCCTCCTCGTTTCCGGGTATTCCCGAATGTCCCGGAACCCACATGAGGCTGACTTTTCTTGATTTTGCCAGGTTTTCCAAGGCTTTTCTGCCCTCGGACACCAAATTGGATGTGATCCTATTGGATTGCAAAGCCAGTATTGCAGCTTTGCTGTCCGAGCATATAGTGATTGGTCTATGACCTCTCATAATTAGCATTAACTGCGCCTTATTAAGCTCCAGGATAGTCGACAAGCAGTCCCACTGTTTTGTCTATCGTTTAATTCACTCTCACAGCTAGTCCGATTTTTTAGAGCTCTATAACGTCTCTTGTTTGAGTTTCGTATCTCGTCTTAATTTTTTCTGAAAATATCCCTCACAACTTCATGTCGTTCTGATGTAGAACACTTCGAATCGCTATATCATTCTTGCGGAAGTAACTATGAGTAAAAATAATGTATTAAATGACAGCAATAACTATGAAAATAGACATTGAACAAATAATAATATGAAATCACCAGTGAACAGCCATCACAAATCCCATTGTTGATCACCGAATTGATTCATCTAGAAAGTTCAAATATCAATTATTATATATATCATACTATATTGGTACTGATCAAATGTATTTAAGATCGTATACAGGGTTTTCCATCAGGAAAATGAAATACGTCTACATTGGATAGAGGTCACAGAGGTTCTTATCCTTATAATCTTCATAACCGTGATGTAAAGGGATTTAGCGATCTTGCTAATTTCTTCAAGAGGTCACAACTAACAGGGTGGTTTCCAGTATATTCTTCTGATATTCGGCACACATATTCTCCTTTCATTACCCATACGACTAACATACCAGTCAGTCGATATCCAGGTCTGGATCAGAACAATAATACCCTGTCTCAAATACGAAAAGTGTAAAAAAAATTGAATCAAACAGTATTTCCCTTATTTTCCCGCATACAATTTCAATATAATATAAAGTATTCTTCAAAACATTACTTAGTTTTTGCTTGCATAGATGTGCACACTCTACTGTGTGTATATATCATACATTGCTCTATTTCCATACAATATTCAATGGTATATTCAGAACCACGTTTGTGACCTCTGTCTACTGCTGACGTATGTCTCCTCCACAATGGATACATCGTGTACAAACCTCTTAATTCTTAATGGTTGGGATTCGTCCCGGCACTACATACCACGTCAACTATTTGATCTCTCGACAACAATGAAAGACTATATTTTCAAATTTATGAGCCCAAAATGAATTTCATCGTATTATGACACAGTCTGCATTAACTCCTAGAAATGGAATGAACCGAAAATTCTCATATTCTTCCTCTAAGAAGCATTATTTTGAAATTCACGCATTGCGGTCGCGTTTCCTTTGGCGCTAAAATCCGTGAAAGAGATTGGCTATAGTTCTGCACCTCATGTTAATGTATTAATGCGAATATTCTTTTACGAATTCCGCAGCAGTTATCCGAACTCAATTGCAATTTTGCTTGAATGGAATGGATATTATCCCTTTGTTAACCATTTGAAGAATAATTTTTACTGATACGAAAATCTGTGAAGGATAGATTATTCCAACCTAGATATGTGAAATTTTCCACATTATCAATGCGCTATTATGTGAAATTATTCAATAATTGGTCCTTGAAGATTGTTAAGGGTCATGAATACATAAGAAATTAGTTCCGCAGTTTCTTGGAACCTGAATGCTGTTTTAGGCCGTCAGCAGAACCCTATATGAACAAAACTTTAGCCTTTTGCAGAACTGTCCGAACTGTCTATATCCTCGGGGGTCCGTTTTTTTCCAAGTTGATGAATCGGTTCCGGAGTTCCCTAACACGTCACGAGTTTTTTTTGCCTTTTGTTTGTTTATTCTTGACTAAACAGTCCCCTGGATGAATTCTCGTTGACCTTGTGTTCATCACAGCATGAATATCTAACATAATGTTTATTCTTCTACTTATCGAGTTGTCTGCATTATGGTTCATTCGTGAATACACCTATTTGATATACATGCTTTCATTTGAGATCTTTTCAACTTCTGGAACAAAGTATTCCACCAAAGCATATCTCGAGGTTAACGAACGATGATGTGGTGGTTCCAAATATATCAGACATACTGAAATTGGCTTCTCTCGAGAAAATTCAGGTTTGAGCTTTGATGACGTTGAATTCAACTAGGTTGTTGGTCCCTCGGCTGTGATTTTAGTAAGACTTACATCGATCTGCCTTAGTCGTTTGTTTTTAGTCTCCTGGAATGAAATGGGAATTCTGGAAGAGGACGCAGTATGAAGAGTACTGTAATCTACAAAGCTGCATATAGGACAGTTATATACTTGATTTCAACAGATATTTGATATGAGGTAGGAATAATAATATCAGAAGATAGTATGTTCACCACCACATGGAGTGATCTGTCTGAAGGAAAACTCTATAAAAGAGGCATATTGAGGTAGTGACTGTAGTGAGCCATATTATGGTATAGTTTGTGAAGCAGTCCTTGGTGCCGAACAAGGTGGAATTTCGATATATCCAATGCCACCGGTTGAGATTCTCCATGTTTTTCTGATGGAGCTTGTCATAGGCAACTCCCAAATCGATCTCCGATTTTGACCCATATTGACGATCATGTATGTTCGTGTTCTGTTGAAAGTTCACCAGTGACCAAGATTTTGGTCTGTTTAGTTTCAAAATCTAGCAGCTAGAAAAAATTATTGTTATCTCATCATTCGTCTTCTGAGTTCTTGACCTGTTGCTTGGTTCCAGCATGAATCTAAGCACACTTTCCAGTAGGACTGGTCTTCTTGTTTGACTCTATGTGTTCTCCTCTAAAAACTTGTTTCAGACCCGTTATCTGCTGAATCACCTTGATTTTCGATACCATAAATCCCTTTGTCGCCTGGCACCAACACCATATTGTAAACCTTGTAACATTTCTGTTGGAGATATGCTAGCCAGGTCAGGGTTATTCAAATATGGATATGATAGAGAATGGAGAGATTATGTGTCATTGATATCATCAACAAAGTGCCATTTTGGGAATCTGCAACGCCACATTTGTAATACGGTTCTTCGGTTTATCACTACATCTGAGGATCACAGTGAGATACTGTTTTGGTTGAGGTGGATCCCTGCTTCTGTTTTTTTTTATCTCTTGGAGCGCACGAAAGGAAATTCCTATACTATTCGTGGAACATCGTGCGTACCTAGGGGGGATAGGAAAAGGAGGTAGGTGTTGGATTTTTTCAACTCTTGGGAATAATTCCATTGGCAAATAATTCCAAAGCTTTGCTGATCTATAGACGAACGAGTTTTGATAAAGTGTTGTTCGGCATATATCAAGGTTGACAACGAAAGGATATGTGCTGACTGAGCCTGTCGATTTCGTCTGACTAGTATTGCTGGTGATGGAACGATAACACAGATTTCTGGGGAACATTTCCTGTCAAAGTATCTACAGAAAAGTGGAGGGTCGACGACTTTTTTACGGTGTTCTATTGATGTCAAAGGATTAGTGAGTGTGGCATCACCTACCAGGCTCTTCTCTGGATAGAATCTAAGAACATTAGTGTCTCTCTGATTTATTTATTTATTTATTTATTTATTCGAAATTTGGGATACTAACAGGTTTTTACCCATACTAGCATCTACTAATACAATCCGTTACAGAGCTAACATTCATGTCTTAACAAATACAAAAATACAAAATACCTAATTACATAGGAGGTATGAAAATGACAATCATATATACGATACGGGAAAAATAGTAAGCATTTTCATCAATGAATACTAATTACTCATCATCGTGATATTAGGAAACAAAAATATTTTCTGTGACGGGAAAAAAGTTTGGCATTTCATCTCTGTTGGCAGGTTATAAAATGTCACTTTTCATAAATTACTTTTTTCCCGTGGGCAAAAAGTGAGTACTTTTTTCCCGGATATATATCACATATATACCTATACTCTGTTAATGGCTTTTGTTGTGCTATAGTTCCGAAAAATTATAGTCAATAATACCGTCTCCGAGAAAGAACTGCAAGTCCTTTTATCTTCCATTCGACTTCGCGGTTTCGTATATTACTAAACAACTACTGAATTCGCAATTTTTCAAAATCAAATCACAGAATTGAACTGACAGAAGTGACATCAGATATTTGATTACTTCAAAAGAATGATAAAGATGCCTATAAAACGCAGGTGTCCCTACTATTAAAAACTTGAAATTTCACGTCGATAATTTTCAGATTTCGAAATAATGTAATATCTTCTCAATATTGATTCGTCCTTCCTTCTGTCACAGAAAAAAATAGTGTATTATACACGGGAAAAATATTAGATTTTAGCTCACGGTTTTTTGTCTCCCTCCGCTACGCGTCGGGAGGCAACA